AAATTTAAAATCAGTGCTTCAATCTCTTCAAAAAAGACTGCTGTGATTTTAAATGGGATTGATTGCATTGAATCTATAGATCAATTTGGGGAGAATTTTCATATTAAATCTAATCCACAGGCATGGTGAATCTCTTCATTTACTTAGGTCTTCTTTAAGATCTCTCAGCAATGTTTCATAGCTTTCTGTATACATATTTTGTTCACATTTTATTAAATGTTTGCCTAAAAATACATTATTTTGTTATTGAAGCTTTTGTTTTATAATTTAATTTTCTATTTGTTTATTGCCACTATATAGAAATGCAATTGATTATTGTTTATTAATTTAGTGTCCTGCATTTTGCTAAACTCATTTATAGTTCACTTAGGTTTTTCGTAGATTCTTTAGGGTTTTTTTGTAAGCAATATCTAATTTCTTCTCAATAAAATCAATCTGTATGCATTTTATTTATTTTTCTTGTCTTCTCATACTGGCTAGAAACTCCAGTACAATGTTGAGCAGAAGCAGTGAGAGAAGCATTCATTACTTCGTTCCTAATCTTGAAGTGTACATCTTTCACCATTTAGCAGGATGGTAGCTAAATGCTTCTTATAGATGCCCTTTATCAGGTTGAGAAAGTTTCCTTCTATTACTACTTAACTAAGAATTTTTGTCATAAATGGGTGTTGAATTTTTACACTGTTTTTTTCTTTATCTGTTGAAGTGATCATTTTTTCTTTTATATTGTTAATATCATAAATTATATTGATTGTTTTTTAAATGTTAAGCCAACATTGCATTGCTAGAATAAATCTAATTGAGCAAACTGTATTATCGTATTTATGTATCACTGACTTTGATAACATATTTTTAAGGAACTTTTTATCTTTGTTCATGAGGGATATTTAGTTGTTGGCTTTCTTTTGTTGTCATATCTTTGATTATCTAGGTAACCGTGACCTCACAAAATGGGTTAGAAAATGTTATCTTTTCTATAAATTTCATAAAGAGTCTGAACAAGATTGGTATTATTTATTCTTTGCTGCCTGATAGAATTTATTAATAAACCTATATATTATGGACAGGCCTGGAGATTTTTTATGCCAGAACTTGTAAGTACAGTGTCAGTTTTGGTAATCTTTGATTTTTAATGTATTTGTGCATTTCATGTAAGTTGGTAAATTTATTGATTGTTTATAATATTCTCTTCTTCCCTTTTTAATGTCTTAAGCATGTTTGCTCTTTCCTTATAACCTCATCCTGGTCAAAAAACACTTCTTAAGACAGGGTGGGTTTTAAGGTCCATCACGTACATGATATTTCCAGTTCATAACTGTGGTGATACCTCTTTCAGGATGTATTTTTGCGTCAAAGAGGACGGATAAAGTTTATTTATAACAGTTGAATAAAAGTGGCGTGTGTGTAGGGGTGGGTGTGTGTGTGCCTGTGTGTGTGTGCAGGTGCACTTTCCACAGTCAGAGATCATTGACCCTCCCTGACATGGCAGAAGAAAGACCTTCCCACAAGGACAGCCTCCCAGGCTGGATCTTTCAAAGTCCTCTTGTATGATTATTACTACTTTTATGTAACTAGGCAAGTATTCAAGGATTTACTAACTACTATTGTGTTTAAGTTTATAAATGGAAACATTTCACCATAATATAAAAAGATGAACTTTGTAGTCAGATAAACTTGAGTGCAAATTCTGGCTTGAGATTTATTATAAAGATATGGACTTGGATATTTTATTTAATTCTTCTCAGTGCTTGATCAAAATCTTTAAAACGAGATTTACAATCTACTTTTAGGGATGCATTGAAGATTACTCAAGATTATATTAATGCATAGTTTCTGTAGCTCAGTTAATATCAATGATTCCTATTAATTTTATGTTGAGCTCCTCTAGACACTCAGTTTCTCCGGACAGTTTAATCAGTGGAGAAACTCATGTGTCCTCAAAGTAAGTGCAGAATTAAGTATCTTTTGTCCTTATTTAGGTCATCATCTAAAAGAGGCATTGCTATATATTTTTCCCTGATTGCGAGGAACATAGTCTGCTCCTCATGGTAGTTTCTCGTTATGGGAACTGTTTCTGATGATTGCTGAAATCATCAGATATAGAATATTGGTTCTTTCCTTGAGGGGAGCACTCAATGGTGGAATCACTAAAGTTTAAATGATCTTTGAGAGATCATTTAGAAAACAGTTCAAAATCACTTAGCAGACACTCACAGGGTTTTCATGCTAGAAGTCTTTTGGAACTTTCCAGCATCCATTGCTGGTTCTTGTCAGTTATTTATTTATTTTTTTATTTCAGCGTATTATGGGGGTACAGATGTTTAGGTTATGTATGTTGCCCTTGCCTCCCCACTCCCCCCCAAGTCCAAATTTCAAGTGTGCCCATCCCTTGGATGGTGCGCATTGCACTCTTTGTGTTTGCAAATACCCGTCCCCTCCTCCCCCCTCCCCCCCCAACATCCAATAGATGTTATTCTTATATGTACACTTATGTGTTGATCAGTTAATACCAATTTGATGGTGAGTACATGTGGTGCTTGTTTTTCCATTGCTATTTAAAAAGACCGTTACAGAGGAGAGAGGATTCCCAGCTCCTATCCCCCAACCGATAGATTAAAAGACTGAGTTGTACTACCACTATGTGAAAAGGGTAGTCTAGTCTATGCAACAGGACATGTAGAATTAGGAGAGAAATAATTTATCAGATGTTTTCTACTTAAGGGAAGGTTTGCATTAATATCATTTGCCTCTTTTTCAAGAGAGAAGACGGTCAAAGGGAGCATCATATTAATTTATCTGTGTGGACATCAAAATAAAATTCAGTTCTCAAGTTAAAGATTAGCTAACAGACTTTTATCTCATGATGTAAAAAACAACAGAATCCATCCAACATCCATTCAGAGACCACAGGGACACATTGGTCTCTCCTGGCTTGCAGCACAGAGATAAAAGCAACAGCTGGGCAATCTTAATAGCACTAAGATGGCCTTATATCGTGCTTGTTGCCATATTTTCCTCATAAAAAAATCACGCATGCTGAATTTTATTGTTTTGCTCACTAAACCTTATCAATCTTCATGAGCTTTTAATTAAGAAAATATTATACTTGGAGAGACTCCCTGCTATTATAAACTACTTTGAAAAGAAACGGAAAAGTACAAGTTGTGTAACTGTTGCTACAAATTCCAGCTATTCGAAATGTTAATGAGAGACCACAAGGAATTCTCACTGTTTTTCTGTGCATTTTAAAGAGCCACACCACAAAATTGGTTTCAAACAATTTCATAACTATAAACAGTGAACAACAGAGAACATTTGACTTGTTTTCTTATTTCTTTCATTCAAAGGTTTGCTTTGTCCGAACTTTAGAAGCATAAAACCTAATAGTAAGCAATAGGTAGTTACGTCCTATCTCTCGGCCTGGCAGCAGATGGCAGTATTGATGCATGAAAAATCCATTCACGTTACTTTACGTTACCTGCAGATTTTCCTTCTCTTTAAATTTAGGTAAAGAATTCCTAATAAGATAATATGGTTGCCATCCCTTTTCCATTCTCCTTCCACAGGTTTTTCCCTTTTTACAAGGAGATATCTTTTCCATGTAGAGCTCTCTTTAGACTTGACAAAATTGTGATGTTTTCACTTTTTTTCCACCCAAAGTCCTATTTGGCATTCCACTGAGTGAATGCCAAGAACATACTCAGCTCAATAAATGTTCTGGAGAAACAGGCGCGCAAATCTCCCAGACCTCGAGCGTCTGGGACACTTTCCTGAACTGTCTTCTAATGAAATCTCCAAAGTGGAACTTTCCTAAGTCAGATAGCAATAAAGATTCTCTTCTCCTTTCAGATCCCTGGAACATCATCTGTAGTTCAGAGAAAATGGAAGCCCCTGCAGCCTATTTCACAGCCTCGAGGGCCAGGACAACAGACCAAGTCTAGGATAAGCGCTGTGGCCGCTGAAATAAAGCAGATCCGAGCCAGAAGGAAAACAGCCCGGATGTTGATGGTTGTGCTTTTGGTGTTTGCAATTTGCTATCTACCAATTAGCATCCTCAATGTGCTAAAGAGGTAAAGTACATCTATTATTTGAAAATGAAGTGGCTTGTCATTTCTTGGTTCTTAATTAAGAACTTTTTTATTTTTAGCCAGAGGAAAAAAATCTAAACTTTCTGCCTAGATACCTTGTCAGGCCGGAAGACTCAGTGGTGTTGTAACCAGCAGGTAAGGTGAGCAGTCTTTTTGGGAGCTCAGACATATGCTCATGTCCGTGCAGATTCTCTGTTGAAGGACAGACATAAAACAGATGTTTCTCCAACCTCTTCAAGCTAATTGCTAAGCCTTAGATGCAGAAAAAGTTCTAACCCAAAACAACTAATTTACGGCTTGCAGGTTTTTTTGATGAGAACAAATGGGTTTTCCAAAACTTTGTTTTCAAAGACATAGGCAATCTTGACAGAATTCTATCGAAAGGATAAAAAGAGATAAGAATGTTTTGTTTGTATTCTAATTATACTTAAAAGTGCATTTGTGAACACTGAAAAAAAAAAAGGAATCAAGCAGATACTGTGTTGAGTGTTTAAACACAAAGAAAATCCATTTCCTGAAGTCACTGAATCCAGCTCGGGGCAACTATTAATAAAAATCAGCACAAAATTTTTCACTGAGGGAAAGTTTGTTATTTGTTACGCTGCAGACACAACTATTAAGTTCAAACAATTAACCAATGACATGAACAGCAGATGCAGAGGCAATGGTACCCCCTGAACTTCATGGCCAGCGAACTTTATTAGGAATTATCAGAGCTGTTGCACATAGACTGGTCCCAAGGCAATACTAATTCTGTTTATAATAGGCTTCAAACTTAAACTAGGATTGCTCCTCTTACTTTTCCCTAATTCAGAGTCAGTATCATATTACTCATATCTGGAAACTCTGGAGAGAGGTAGCTTTGGCTGGAGTCAGACTAAGGGTGGTATACCCAGCTGCAAAGATTTCTCCTTCTCTTCAGCTTTTATTTTTGATTGCTCGATAGCCTTTCAATGGAGAAGAAATGGAAAATGAACTTCTGTTCAGTAGAATTATTTGCAGCAGACAAAGCATTAAAGACATAAGAACTGTGGTGGCCTAGGTCCTTGAGACATATGCCGGCTCAAAAGAAAATAAAAATTATTTTGCATTCCGTATCTTTTCATTCTTCCCCTCTTATTTTTCTTGCTCACAGAAATTATACTCAAATTTATCCTGGTCTTTTGCTAGATGGTATTTCTGCTCTTAAAAACTTTATAAACATGTCCCTGAATAGGTTTTCTTCTCTTTCTCTCTCTCTCTCTTTTCTTTGTACTCTTTTAGTCAATCTAAATTCAAAGAAAATTGGATTTACCACTCTCTGGGTTGCTCATCTGGATTTTCCATATCTCAGCACTTTCTCCTTTTTAAAAATTATTTGCAAAAATCTACTCGTCAATAATATTTTCTCTTATTCTTATGACTTAAATATTTTCCTTTCCAAAGAAAACAAATAGTTTTCAAAGGAGAAAGTCCATGTTACATTTAAATTATTTTCAATTTTTGAAGATTATGCTCTTTTCCACAAAATAAAAACTTTTAAAAATGAACTTGAAAATTGTTTTTGTCATTACCACACAAATTTTCTTCAAATACTTATCTTTTTGTTTGCCCTTGGGTATTAATATTTTTTCTTTCTCTCAGAAAAATAAAAATTCTAACTTCTTTTCCTTGAAGCTTAACTTTTTGCCTGATTAGTCAAAACCAATTTCTTTAAAACAGTTCTGGCTTGTCTAAGATTTCAAAGATATTTTGAGATAGAGGATCATAATATATTATGAATCTCATTTGTCCATACTGTTTCACTTTGTATTATATTTTTGTAAAACTCTAGTACTCTGTAGGGCATCATTGTATTCCAGAAATGCATTTCTATCATATGCCTTCTTATTGAAAAAAAACACAGGTACGGCACAAGTCACACAATCATTGATGGAGCCTCCAATAGGAAATATTAATACATTATCATCTTTGACCTTACTGAGTAGCTACAAGTTATCTGCTGTAGGTTAGTGAATAGAATTTCTAAGTATGGAGCAAATCTTAAAATAGTCTTTAAGGATATCATAATAAACTATTTTTCAGAGTTTAGAATAATACATGAGAAATTAAAATTCATGAATTTTAAGACATTACCAGAATCCTGCCTATTTAAAAGTAGTTCTTCTTTGAGTATTAAAGAGGTCCCTGAGGTCAAATTTCAAAAAGGCCAGGAAGATTGGAGTTGAAGACATATGGTACTTTGATTAATGTATAATTGAAATTAGGAAGAGATATTTATAGGTTGAAATTTAGGAATGCTTTTTACATGATATGCACAATGGAATATCAACACAACGTTGCTGAATTGTATTTAGAAACAAAATGAAATAAGGGAAATACATATTCAACTTCTGCATTCCTATTCACAAGAAATATTGCACTTGCTGTTTGCAGAAGGGAGATTTCCTTCTCTCATTTGATTTGGCTTTTGATTTATTAATTGTGCCGTGGAAGTTCTGTTCAGGCATTAGAGTTATGCTAGGCCAATTATGGTGTCAGAAACCTGTAAGTGGTCGATGCCTGCAACAGAGGACGGCAGGGGTCAGACAGCCTCTATTAAGAGCTTTGTTCACCTTTGAATTTAATTATTTAAAAGGTACTTTCCAGAATCACACTGGATGTTCTGTTATTGTTTCTTTTCCTACAGAGTATTTGGGATGTTTACCCACACTGAAGACAGAGAGACTGTGTATGCCTGGTTTACATTTTCACACTGGCTTGTATATGCCAACAGTGCTGCGAACCCAATTATTTATAATTTTCTCAGTGGTGAGTTTCAACTGTTTCTTCTATAAACCCCAGTCCTAACCAAGGGCG